TTCTTCTCTTCTCTTCTCTTCTCCTTTTCTTTTCTTTTTCTTTTTCTTCTTTCTTTTCTTTTCTTTTCTTTTCTTTTCTTTTCTTTCTTTTCTAATAGAAATGTAAGGGTTTAGCATAGTTTTCTAGTCTGGGTATCAACCTTGTCATACCCGCTGCTATTTATCTTATCCCTATCTCTATCCATATCCCTATCCATCCATCGTTATCCGTCTCGATCGTTTTTCTATTCTGCGCTTATCCATTCTTATTTGCTGTCGTGTTTGTCCATCCCGGGGTGAAATACCAGTGGTAGACATGAACCGATAAGTATTAGAAAAACTAAAAAGAATCCATAAGGCTTTGTTCAGATGTCCGCCAATTGGTTGTCAACAGTACAACCAGTCATTTTTTTCGGAGCAGAAAAAGGGATTTGAAGTTTTTTGAACCCTCAACCGCCTGCCATTGGTCGGCGTCCGATATTGATGAAACAGCAGGTTACTTTGTTGAGCGCCCAGTGCCCGAGGCCATTCCCTGGCTTTGGCTTCGACTAAAAGGGGTGAAGAGCCTCAAAATCTCGAACCTCAGGTCGAGCTCCCCCCTTCTACAATCCCGAAGACGGAAGTCCTCAAAACGAACTTAAAACGACGAATAAAAACAATTCCTGAAAATTTCCAACGAATACCCTAACTAAGGACAACACCTAAAAAGTGCCAAAACGATCGTAACATGGGCACAGGTTTGTAAAGAAGGAAACCTTAAATGAGGGCAAACCACTATTTAAAAGTCCTAAAAGGAAGGAAGAAGTACAGAGCGGCCACAGTCAAACTCAAACAAAAAACATCAGACTATTCAATAGCCCCGCCCACTTTCTTTCAAATAGAAAGCAGACACCACTACCGGCAGAAATAAACCAAATGCGAGTCTAAATCTAATACAAAACCTAGAAAACACTACCATTTGGTCGTCTAAAACGCCGCACCCTTGAAAGATTGTCCTGCAGATCCACCTGTCAGTAGCTTGATGTCTGCAGCACTCTCCTATCGCAATCCGGCGTATGGGAAGCCGAGTAACGTGGAGGTACGAACCACCAAGTCAACCACTGCACTCCCGTGGCGATTGATGACAACCCCGAATACGAAGAAGAACAGCACCATCCAGATGAAGCCGTCCCGCGTCTAAATCGACCCACCAAACAAACTCGATTGCTGTCAGCTCGTGATCTTTGACAGATTACAATCAAATCTTTTGGGTCATATCATGCTGCTACTAGAATTTCACCCCGGACGTGCTCCTGTGCTCTCTCTCTCTCTCTCTCTCTCTCTCTCTCTCTCTCTCTCTCTCTCTCTCTCTTTTGCCAACCCTATGTGCGCAGATGTGGTTGATTTTGACTGTGTTGATGCATCAGCCGTGCTGGTCCCCTCTTATCCTCATCCTTATCTTCAGCCTCTTCTAGCTTCTCAATTTATCCATTCCTGCCATTTCCTGGTGAGAAACGGACTCCGAAGATGGTAGGGATAGGTAAAATCAACTAGCATTTGAGCAGGTGTGTGTGTGTGTGCATGTATGTGTGTATGTTGTGTGGTCATGTTCCCTATACACGCTCCAGCCAGACTGTTCCGTTGGAGTTCACCAACTCATCAGGCGGTCGAACTCCGACAGTCTGCCCAGGGTTCATCTGACGGACTGATGGATAAGGACTCATCACGTCGCCCAGAGTTAGTGATACCCCTGAGAAAAGTGGTCCACTTTTACTCACCCCAACCCTGCAATTCAAGCAGACTGACCATCCAACCCCCTGACAAGAATGACAGTAAGTCTGAGAAACTAGTATGTCACAGCCATAATACCCAATCTAGTGCATGTGTGTGTGTGTGATGAATCTGGTGATGTGTGTGTGGTAAAGTTATATGACCCCAGCAAAAAATGATTCACACCAGACGGCCCTCTTCAAAACAGCTCATCGAAATGCCATCTGGAACCAAACATTAGCCCAAGCCCCAAACAGGCATGCCAACGTACGAACGGTCTTCAGACAAATAAAACACATCAAGTTAAAGGGTAAAGCAAGAGGACAGACAAACTAAAGCAACAGCAAGGAACAAAGGCTGGAGGCTACGGGGGAGGCGTATGGGCAGACAACCAGCACTAGGGAACAATGGGGTAAACAAGGCAGAGAAACCACAAGAGAAACAAAAAGACACCAACAAGCCAAGAAGCAACAAGGCATGAAACACGCAAACACACAAGCCAGGGGAAAGACACCACACAGGAAACCAGAAAAAAGTACAAGCCCAAAAAATGCAAAGACCAAAAAAAATAAAGCTGGTGATGAAGGATTGTTTCAACGGAGTTGTGCTGACTCATCAAGAGGCTGAATCTCCGTATTGGATGGTTTGGGTCATGAACCCTTTGACTCATGGTGAAGGCAGACTGTCCCCAAGTGGAACATAGCAGCGAGCAGCAACCCTGCAGAGCACCAGGCAACCAGTAGAGGGAACACGGCTGCACAACGCCAAAAACGACTGCAAGGAACGACACGGCACACAGGACATGCGGCGTGGCAACCAGGCAGTGATGCACAAGGCAACACCACCAAGGCAACAACACTGCAAGGGACGACAGGACGAGCGGATGAGCAGCGTAGCAACCATGCGGTGAAGCAAAAGGCAACATTAACAAGGCAACCAAACTACAAGGTATGCAAGCAAAGGACACGGAAGGCACGCCCAGCTGAAGGGTGGCAAGGCAGTGAAGCGCAAGGCAACACCAACAACACGGCCACACCACACAGCAAACACATCAGAGACCCACATGCGAAGCAAGCAGGACAGGCTGCATGGCAGCGGTGGAGTGCAGACGAGGCCGTCCACACATCCAACACGGAGCAAAGCAGCACATGACCTACTCACATCATGATTGAACCTGGCAGACTGTTGGTTCCCACCACCCACTGAGCCAGGGAGACACTCCGACGAGCATCTGTCATCACCCACAGACAACACAGGCACCCCGAACCGAGCGGCCCCCCTAAGAGTGCAGTAGGCACTCCAGACGTGGAACCACCGACTGTTTGGCACACTTTTTGGCACTAGTTAAGGCTGCTCAGTTGGGTAAGCACAAATACTTAGAAAACGATCAGAGGGAGGACATACAACAAGAGGAAAACACTCTCAATGTCAACTGTCTCTCATCTCGCCAGCATACCATCACCCTATATCTCCTCCTGTCGCTCTTACTGCTCATTGACAACGAAAGATACATGATTGAACCAAGAACCGGTGGGCGATGGCTGTCCCTTCAGCTCTTCTACCCTTAAATCGCTTCTTGGTACTATTTTGTCCAACGTGTCATGCCCATCACTTGTGCGGGCTGTACATAAGACCGCACAAAAGAACTTCTCCCTCGCTTCTCTGGAGCAGTATGGCCACACTCTTGGGTGAAGCCTCCACTCAAAAGAACACTTGAGGGGTCTTTTTTATGTGGCGCCATGCAAGGAGATGATGGTAATCTGCCATAGCTGAAGATAAGTCGTTACTGTGGTTCCCCTCTTTCTTCTTCCTCCTCTTGGTCAACCGAGGTCCTCCGCCCCTGCATGCCCAATGGGGGTTCAAAACCCTATACTCTTCTTCTTCAACCTCATTTTGCCTGTTGATGTTATTTGCTAAATAGTAAATTTGGCTTTGCGTTTGGTAGCCACTTGCTACGTTTTTTACAAGGCTGAGCGGAGTTCTTCTACGACAATAATTGAGTTTGTTTCATAACCAATTCCAATAACGCCCTTGCTTCTGCTTCACGTCCATAGCCATGCAGCCAATGATGGAGAGCATTGGAGGTCATCTACCTCATCTCGAAGGCCCCTATTGACTCCCAACCGCTCCACTATTTTTTTTCTTCTTCCACCTCGTACTGGATGCCGTAGCCATCAAACCAATGATGAAGGTCATCTCCCTCATCTCCAAGCTTCCTTATGATTCCCCAACTGCTCCGCTACTCATCTCCTTCGGCCTTATACTCAACATCCATAGCCATCGAGTCAATAACGGAGGTCATCGCCCCCATCTCGAAGCTCGCTAACAACTCCCCAACTCCTCCACTTCTCTTCTTCTCTTCTTCTCCAACCTCGCACTCCACTTCTATAGCCATGGAGCCCATGATGGAGGTCATCTCGTTCGTCTCGAAGCTCCCTCTTAACTCCCCAACTGCTCCTCTGCTAATCCTCTGGGTGGAGCAATGCACTGACTGCATAGGAAGTGAGTAACTGAACCAACACACAACACACCAAGTGATATACTGAGTGGTTGTACCGATAGGTTCCAATGGCTAAGTTATTCCTTTACCGGTGTGTCGAGGTCCTACCAGCCCTCTAGAAAGGGTGGGCACCTCACCGCAGACCGTAGTCTCCCTTGGAACCGGACATACCTAACCTCACTCCAGTCTACATTCGGTATCGTAATCGTCGTTGGAACCGGACGGACGTACTTAACCTTGCACCACTCTGTCTGCATTTGGTCATGTCATCTCCCTCGGAACTGGACATACCTAACCCCACACCAGTCTATATTCGGTATTGTGATCTCCCTGTTCCCAAATTGCTGGGAAATCCCTACTGGTAGTACGGGGTCCCTGCACTGATTGTTACCTATATGTCCCTTGTCCGTTCTACTTTTGATGCTAGACCAAGTTTCAGTCATACCGTTCTCGGCTTCTAAACTGCAGACCCCCCCCCTCCGGATGGAGGTTTAGTCCAGTCATGGTCCTCTGGTAAGCATCAGCGGCCACATAAAATTTCGGAAATTTCGAGTTTGTCGGAACTTTGTCCCCACAAGAATCTGCGTACCTGTCTGCTGTAGGCAACTTACCAATCTACCCCTCCAAGCTGAGCATTTACAGGCAAGTCCTCTGAGGCCCAGATCAAAGCATGAACAGGTGTAGGAGTAGAGCAAAAGCACTTGGCTGCCGAAAAAAATTGACGTAGGTTCATCATTATATGCAACCCCAATGTTCTCATTGAAATCTCTGTCCAAACCCAGGCAAAAGCTGCACAATGCACAGTCTCTGCAAACACATGAATCTGCTTATCAAAAACTCGGATGTCGTAGACTAAAAACTGTGCGCGACCTGTGAGTTTTTGCCGGACAGTCAGGGGGGTCCCGGACGTCCGGGCCCGGACAACTCCATTTTAGCTGTCAAAAGCATGAAAAAAAAAATATTAAAAAAATTGGGGGTGTTTTTAATTTGATTTTTTATTTTAAATTTGACAGCCGAGTTGGTTTAGCTCGCAGCCGCTGAAGCCGTTTGGGCTGTCCCAGGAGCCTACTGGTCGTTTCTTCATCGGATCTCCAGTTCCCCCACTGGGCATCCCAGAGGTGGCCAACCTTATATACTCCCCGCTTCGCCTATTGGCGCCCGGGCCCTGCCAAGGAAAGGGGTCCCCTTGCATGTCGCATATAAATCTGTTGTCGAAGAGGAGCTGATTGAATACCACATCTGCAGTTTCAGGAAGCTTACTCTGCAGTTCCATTTTTTTCCCGCCATAGTGCTAATGGGGTGGACCATACCGCTCCCCATCGAATATGTCGTATCAGCCCTGTACTAACAAGGCAGAGCTCCATCAACTCGGGTGGCACCCTCAGCGCATAGGCCACATGCCGCTCCGCTATAACCCTCCATGGTTCCCCTGCCGTCCTGAGGAGCAGCCAAACCACGTTCCTCAACTGGAGTGCGACTATCTGCAGCCTAGGGTCTAGGATCCCTAGGCCTCCCACCTGCCTGGGCTGCACCAATTTTGTCCAGGCCACCCTGCTTATACGGCCCTCGTCGCCCAGCTCCGGGTCCGCCCTTGCCCTCCATAGATATGCATGGATGGCTGTCCTCTCAACTGTGCAAGTGTCTGCTTCCCAGGCATATGGATGGCGCCCACGTACCACAGGGTGGCCAGCACTGAGTTGTTGATCACGAGCGCCTTTCCGAAGACCCCCAAGCTGATGAAAGAGCTCCACCTTGCTAGCTTGGCGACCGCAGCCCGCTGCCAGGGTTGTCCCATGCCTTACGTCAGCAAAGCGCGCGACTTTCCCCAGTTGACCCTGTCGCCCGAGTATCTCAAGTCGGCCTTCAGGTATCCCAGCTGGCGCACCGTCGGGGCGACAACTGCTGCCGTATTGTCGGCAAAAGCCGAAGACTTCAGGCATTGTCCTGGGCCTATTTGCAACAGTCCTTGATTTCATTTATCTGGTTCCATCAGGATTCCAACTTGACTCTGCATCTCAACAGTTCATTGCTGAACCAACTCAGCTAGGTCAGTGCCTAGCCTTGTCCGGTCGTAGGTTGGTTGTTATGACCCTGGCCAATTTCGAAATACACATCCACTGAGAAGTACAATGCCATCCAATTGCAGAAAGAAATGAATGAACTTGAGAAGAGAGAGAGGAGTAGAAGAAGAAGAAGAAGAAGAAGTACACCAGCAAAGAAGATGACAAGGCTCTTCTTCTTCGCCCAGCTATCTCCTCCTCCTTATCTCCCCCTTCTCTTATTCATACCAGAAATAATAGTACAATGTTGAATGACTGGTCCAGAATCATGTCCGATTCCCTTTCCTACTGCAGGTATCACTCAAGGTCCACCATAGCCATGGGCGCCTCTCCCACTCTTCATACACATGGGCCGAGGCTATGGCGGACTACTAGGCCTTGCTCTGATGCCCAAAGGACAACACAAAGCAGCTATGGCTGCTTGGACTCAGGCCGCCATGTCCAACCCTGCCCTGAAGCTTCTTGGTGTAGCTTTCCCCGGCTGGGGACTCCTTGCTGCAGCACCCACCAAGGTGATGAAGATGGCTGCCACCATAGCCAGGTAAGTACCCCTGGCGCTCCTCCCCCTTCCTCCTTCCTTCCTCCATCTTCCTCCCTCTTGTCCTCCTTCTTCCTCCCCAGCAGCGCAGCTCCAACCCAGCGCTGCTCCCTCCAGCGCTCCACCAGTGTGTCGCCAAACTTGCACACCGAAAAAGAGGCCGRGTCTTCYGCCCGGCCGGAAGATATAGYGGCCTGCTTTGCCTCTTGGGCGGTGACTTCCAGGCCGCTGGCCTTCCCAAGCAACCGGTACCTCTTCCTCCTTTTGGAGGGAACATCATTGCAGACTCWGATATTGCCCCTACAGGCCCTAGACTCAGACTGGTACCCGCTAGACTTAGCCTACACTACCGGCCTCTAAAAATGCCACTTTTGTCTTCTTTTGCTCGGCCTCCGGTACCTGCATATTTACCCCCCTGCCGGGTGCGGTACCGGCCTACCCGCTACTTGAGCGCTTTTTCCCTGCTGCAACCCTTCGAAGCCACGACCACAGGTAAGTACCGGCCCTGAGGGCCCAACGAACGAACAAGTGCCCTGGCGGGCCACACACACACACACTCATACCAACCAGCACTCAGACAGGCATGGTCACACACGCAAGCCAACCAGCACTCARACAKACATGCAGTCCAGCAAGCACACACACACACAGACTTAGCAGGCGGGGAACTCAGTAGGGCATTCAGTCTATGAGCAAAACTCAGAAATCAGCTGTGTTTCAGTCCGTGTTTGGACGGGTTATCACACTACCCCCCCCTCAAGAGCGAGGTCCCTTCAAGCGAGTAACTCATTCTGAGTCCTCGACAAACGCATCGTAGGCGAGCAAGGCAAAGAGATTCCTGGAATACTCTGTTGCAGAGAGCCTTACTGAGATCTTTGGTGTGGCGTTGGCGGCGATCTGTCGCTCGTAAGCTTTGACAACGCGCGGTGCGCTGCGTAGCAGTTCCTGTTTGGAGATCCAGTAGAGATCATCTAACGGGTGATACATGAAATGAACCTGGTACTGTCTGTTTCCCCCTTTACCTACATGCTGTTTGATTCTATTTATCTCATGCCCCCCCTTGATTGCGTGAGGGATCATATCTTCGCGATAATCGAATGTCTCAGCTTCACGATGGAGATTCAGTTTAGATGCATGAAACACGGGATATGTGCGCAGGTGAGCAGGCACGTCCACAATGTACGAAGGGCCGAAATGATCTTTCCCGATTACATCCAAAACTTCCCAAGGCCCGTAGTAGAGTGGGAGGAGTTTGCGTGAGACTCCCTCCTCCTCTGAGAATTCAGACATCTTTACCCAGACATAACTTCCTACCTGAATCTCCGATGGTTTACACTTCTTGTTCGCATGATGAATCATGGCATGCTGTCGCTTGGTCATAGCTGCAACAACAACTTTGAGCAAGCGATCATACTTAGCACTGAAGCCAGGCCTGCTGGGTGTCAAACCAGCCGGCTGCTCAGGGAACAAGTAGGAGAGCGGATTGCGGATCTGCCACCCGTAGTGCAGCCTATTGGGCGTCGTGGCGGTGGCAGAGTGAACGGAGTTGTTGTACAACCCCTTGACAGAATACAGCTCCTCATCCCATGTTTCCTGATCAGGAATGATCAAAGCACGAAGTAGTTGGAATACAGTCTGGTTGATCTCCTCAGCCAAACCGTTGGCTTCGGGGTGTCGACCAGATGTCATGCACAGTTTGATTCCTAGGTGGGATGTGAACTCCTTCCATTCAGCGCTAATGAACCGCGGGTCCCGATCACTCACAAGAGTCTTCGGGGTTCTGAACTGCAGCAGGTATTTCTGCTGGAATTCGCGAATCACTAGATCTGTTGGGGCGTGAGGCGGTAGAGGGATCAAATCAAGAAACTTTGAGAATCGGTCAACAATCACCATGACTTGTGAAAACCCATTCTTGCTTACCTTACCCATGTCCGTGAAATCGATGGAGACAGATTCCCCGGGGCCATCAGGAATGGGTAGGGGTGTGAGTATCCCCATGGGCTTTTGCCTACATGGTTTGATTCGTTGACTAACTTGACATTCAGCTATAAATTTCTCAGCAGTCCCTTTCATGCCAGGCCAATCAAACTGTCTCACCAGGTTAGCGTACGTTTTTGCCATGCCGAAGTGCCCGCTCCGGCCATGAGCCGAGTCCAGAAAGTGTGTGCGGAGAGGCTCATGGTTGGGTACACACAAACGATCATGGTTCCCGTATTGGCGAAAAATCAGTCCTCCATACTCGTGGAAATCAGGCTGACTACTAGGATCAGCCCGCAGCTGCTCAAGGATGGAACTAAGTTCCGGATCCTTGGCTGTCTGCTCTACGAGCTCCTCCTTCAGTTTCTTCCGGAGGTCGTAGGATTTCACAAGGCAAGTCATGTACTCAGGGTGGCGAGACAATGCGTCAGCGACTCGATTGTAACAACCCTTTTTGTGTCTCAATTCAAAATCAAAGATGTCAATCTCATGAAACCAGCGAAGCAAGGTAGGGGACAGAGTAGTCTGCATTTTGATCCACTTCAAGGTCTCATGATCTGAGAACACTTTGAAGTGGCGTCCCAACAGGTAATGTTTCGAGTGATCCAACGCCATGCGCAAAGCGTAGAGCTCGCGCATGTAGGTGGAAGTGGCTACCTTCACGCTGGGCATTCGTTTGCTGTAGTACTCGAGTGGCCGCAGGCTATCGCCATCATCTTGTTGCAGCACCGCACCGATCCCATACTGACTTGCATCCGTAGTAACTACGAAGGTCAGTTTGGGATCTGCAATGCGGAGTACCGAGTAACTTACCAAGGCTTCCTTGAGAGTTCGAAATGCTTCCGTACACGCGGCATCCCAGGAGTAAGACACATTCTTGCTGGTTAGTCGCGACAATTGATGAGCAATGATAGAAAAACGGGGTACAAACTTCCGATAGTACGACGCGAGACCAAGAAAAGAACGCGATTCACGAATGTTCACAGGCTGAGGCCAATCGCTTATGAGCTCAATCTTGGTTGCCTCAGGCTCTAGGCCTGCAACAGACAACCGGTGCCCAAGATAGATGACGCTATCCCTCCCAAACTCGGATTTCTCCAAGTTGAGATGGAGCTGCGTCTTCTTGAGGATGGCAAGTACCTCCTCAAGATGCTTGAGGTGTTCCTGCATGGACTTGCTGAAAATCAGGATATCGTCCAGGTACACTACCACGAACCGGCCAATCTGTTCGCGGAGGACCTTGTCCATGAGGCTTTGGAACGTGGCTGGTGCGTTCGTAAGACCGAAGGGCATTACGGTAAACTCATAAAGCCCRTCGCGCGTCTTGAACGCAGTCTTGTGCTGGTCCGCAGGATCGACTTCAATCTGGTGGTAGCCAGACTTGAGATCGATCTTGGAGAAGACCTTGCACCTGCCTGCAACATCAAGCAAGTCATTTATACGAGGCAATGGGTAAGCATTCTTTCTTGTGATGCGGTTTAGACCGCGATAGTCAATACACATGCGGAGTTTGTCTCCTTTCTTTGGCACAAACAACACAGGAGCACCAAATTCAGATTCACTTGGTTTGATCCACCCTTTGTCAATCATCTCATCGATCTGCCGCCGGAGTTCCTCCAACTCGCCGGGTCCCATACGGTACACGCAGCCCTTTGGAGGAACAGCACCCTCGACCAACTCGATGGTGTGTCGAACCGGTCGCAAGGGGACTCCACGTGGCTCGGCCAGGACTTCTGGAAACCGATCGAGGAGGGCTTGGATGTTTGATGGGACAGGTGGGGGTGGGAAATCAGCAAAGGGATCACCAAAGTCCGGTCGCAAGTCGCCTATAGAGACGACCGAATCTGAAGTTGGATCATTTGGACTATCGGAGGGTAAAGAGGTAGAGGTGGTAGTAGTAGAAGTGCTAGAAGTAGGATCATTACTCAAGGTAGTGGTGGTACTAGCCGCAAAAGTAGAAGGCAAATGAGCAGGACGGACAAAGACAACATACAATTGTTCTTCCTCTTTGTGCTTGCGCCATTTCTTGCAGAATTTCAATGCATTTGGAAAAGTCACTGGGACTCGTGCTTCTCATCCAAGAGGACAGGAAGCTCGTTCCCCTGAGTATCTTTGACCATGAAGAATGATTCCTTGCACTTGGTCCATTCGCATTGGGACTGCAGCCAGCCCAAGCCAAGGACAACGTCGAAGGGGCACTTGTCAAGGACAAAGAAGTTCAGTGCATGGGTGACAGTCTTACCTCTGTCAAAGGTAGTGCGCACACCTTTGACTGCATGTGTAGAAGAGACAACTTCTTTGTTGCCAACTTGGGGTCCGACAAGGGTTTTGCAGGGCCACTTGCTTCATCCCCAAGCCCACCTTGCGTATCCCATGTGGTGACATGAAATTAGCTGTAGCACCACAATCAACTAACACACGGAGATAGCGGTGGTTGATGAGAAGTTTAAAGAAGATTAACTTCACTGTCCCTTGGGCCCGCTGCTGTTTTATTTCAGCCCAATGCTCCAGGTGGTAGTGGAAGTCAATCATCTCAGACTCCTCCCAAGGCTCGTCATACACTACGTTACTTACCGCAGCCTTGTCTTCAGCAGATGGTTGGGCTTCAAGGGAGGGCTGCTGATTTTCATCTGAACCTGATGCTGTAGAGTTTGCTGAATCTGACTCTACACCCGGTTCTGGTTTCCCTGCAGCCTATAACAGTCTTGAACTTTATGATTTGGCTTTTGGCAATGCAGGCAAACCCCCTTCTTGAGTCTGCCCCGCCAGTCATTCTCAGTGATCCGGAGGTCAACCCACGGTTTGGTAGATGCATCCTCCGGTTTAGGCGGGATCTTAACTCCTTTGGGGAGTTGGACATAACTCTTTTCGGCACTCCGATTCGGTCCCTTAGTGTTGGCAGTGTTTTTAAAGGCAGAAAAATTTTCTTCTTCGTTATTGGCGTTGAACTCATGGGTTGAAGAACAAGTATCGGAGTCCTGTTCTTGGTCGTTACCAAGAGTGGGGTCAACCGCATCGGCTTCTCCTTCGGCCTCCAGCAGGTCATGCACAGCAAAACGGTTGCTGCCCTTGAACCGTCTGCCGCCCATGGGCTTTTTGCTGCCTGCCGTGCTCACGAGGTCCATGGCCTCCAGACCGACTACGTCCTTCATTAAGGCGAGCCAGTMAGTATATGCAATGTAGCCCGTGCCCAGGCGACTAGTAAAGTGAGTTGGGACCGCGCCCTTGACCACATCCAAGCAAGATTGAGGGGACAACTCCAAACCAGGGGTGGCAAACAGTTTGCTTAGATAGGTCTGCAGGCTTTTCATGGARCCATTCCACTTGTTGTGCTTYAMTTTATCCASTTGAATTCTTGCTTTAGYRGCAACRTGTGGATCTTGGTATTCTGAGGTAAGGAGTTCTTCGAGGGAGGCAACAGGGGTGGCCCTTAGCCATTTGGCCAATGCAGCCTTTGGAAACCCAGCCCGCGTTGCTTGGACTTCTAGGAAGCCCCGTACGACTGGCTCGACATTCATTCCCATGATCACTGCCTGGGTCTCAGTTTGAGTCCCCAGAATCTCGAAGTAGGCTCGCATGGAGCTGGTCCAGGAGTCGATGTCCTCCTTGCCGTCGTACTTGGTCGGCATTTGAATCGACTTCCTGTCCACATAGGGACCTGCGTAGCTGCGACCAGCAGCAGCTGGTTCCGATCTTGAGGCTGCAGCACTTGCAGAAGTTCCAGCCTCATTGCTTGTTATAGCAACAGTGGAATCTGCACCTGCTGCAGGTTCTGAGGAAGTTGCCATCACACTCGAAGAAGAGGTAGAAGAAGATACAGTAAGAGGGGCAGAAGTAGTTCCGATTGCAGCTCCGGTCCCAAGGGGTAGAGGGAGAGGGTTGGCCACTTGGGCTTGTTGCAGGTCAGCCACCTCCTTGGTCAAGTCATGGTACTTGCGGGTCATCTCAGTCAGATCATCCTGAAGAGTCTGCAGCTTCGCAAAAACTTCAGCGATCTGAGTGGTATGGTCCTCAAGGTTCCGGACTTGAACCAATGTTGTGAGTATGGACTGCAACTGTTCCCCACACTGCACTTCGGTCAGTGAGGGGACAGTCTCTAGGAGAGCCACTTGCCTTCTTAGCAGGGTTTCCTTCCTCTCCTTCTCTGTCTCCTGTTCCCGTTTTATAGCACCATCCAAGAGTGCTTGCAGATGTGGTTTCTCAGCATTACCGGTTGCATCTAACAAGGCCCGCCATTGTGTTGAAGTTAGGCCCATCTTTGGACTGTCAGTGTGAGCAGGTGGATCAGAGAGTCGCCAGACAGCAAAAGAATCAATCAGACTCTCAAGAGGTTCACTCCCCCTTGCGCTTAGACGAACACTCCTTTTCCTAGTCCTTGCCCACCTCAGACTATCACTTTCCCTCTCTCCCTGTTCTCTCTCCCTCCTCTCTCTTTCTTCTTTCAGATTGCGCGTCTCCACGGGTATCGGAAATGAACTCAGAAAAACAGATACAGCTCAGAGTAGAGAAGGTAGAACTCCTAGTCGGAGCGGCATTTCATTTGGAAGTAGAGAACAGCAAAAGAAACAATCAAACTCAAAGAGAAGTCTGATCAAGCGATCCAGTCGGATCAGGCTGCATACGAGGTCCTCTCGAGTCCAGCCTGACCGGCTCCGTGTCTGTACAGCAAATCAGACAACGAGTGATGCAACGATGGAGAATTGAGTGGTGTACAGGGTGCGAGTCAAGCCACGGATGGTGCAATCAGAATGCAAGCGATACGTCAAAGCCAAGATCCCCTCGACAGTGGGTGTCCTAATCCAAGAAGAATGAACTCATATCCCAGCCAAGAAGACAAGAGGTCAATGCCTAACCGATTTGGGTCCAGAGGCTCTCCTTGTTTGGGCCTGGTTCCGCTGGGTCCCAAGGGTCCCACGTAGGTCTCAACCAGGTCCCAACCAAGAAGAGTCCCACCTGAACTTAGTTCAGTCTCAACTGCACTGAAWAACGAAATTTCAACTTCTGGCAKAACCTACAGACTACAACCGTTCAGTGATGAAAAGACAAAGCATTGTAGAAAGACTCGGCATGTATAACAAGATACTTCATTTTCCATCCATCAGGTGAGTAGGTAGATCACATGCATYCAGTCACACAATCAAGACCACARAGGAGTAGGAAAAGAAACCCCGAGTACCCCAGCAGGACAATCAATACCATACACACATACATGGGCATCCCGTAGGTGCACGACACTTACCTGAGTGGCCTTGAGCTTCGAGATGAAGAGAACTCACCCCCCTTCTCATATGGTCCTCCTGACCCTTCTAACGGTACCCCTACGCTAGTGTCCTATCTCCTAGGAGATTCTGACTCCAACACCCAAGTGCAACGCTGGATCCCCCGTCGATGCTGAAGAACAAAGTAGCAACTTGCAGTCCGTTGATGCATAATGGCCGCTGACCCTCAAGCTCGCCTAATTGAGGGCAGCCCTTAAGTTGCCAAGTGTCTCCCTTGAACCCGATTCCAGGTGCGAGTGCCTCTCACTGTCGCCTCTCTCAAATCGCCGCATGAAGTCTCCTTGAAATGTCTCGCCACCCCAATCTCACTCTCAAGCAACCTGGTTAGGGTCTATGTTGACCCCACATGACCTAACCAGGTGGGGGCAGCTTCCCTTAACCACGCTGCCCCACTTCCCTCAACCATCCAACCCTAACCCTAAGTGTTGCCCTCAACCACTTAGGTTAGGGTTAGGGTAGCAAAGTCAACTCTCACCAGCAAGTAGAATCCGCTCTGATACCAATGTTATGACCCTGGCCAATTTCGARATACACATCCACTGRRAAGTACAATGTCATCCAATTGCAGAAAGAAATGAATGAACTTGAGAGGAGAGAGAGGAGTAGAAGAAGAAGAAGAAGAAGTACACCAGCAAAGAAGATGACAAGGCTCTTCTTCTTCGCCCAACTATCTCCTCCTCCTTATCTCCCCCTTCTCTTATTCATACAAGAAATAATAGTACAATGTTGAATGACTGGTCCAGAATCATGTCCGATTCCCTTTTCTACTGCAGGTATCACTCAAGGTCCACCATAGCCATGGGCGCCTCTCCCACTCTTCATACACATGGGCCGAGGCTATGGCGGACTACTAGGCCTTGCTCTGATGCCCAAAGGACAACACAAAGCAGCTATGGCTGCTTGGACTCAGGCCTGCTACTGAACCAGTGGTGGGGCCTTTCCTGTAGTTTCTATGGAAGGACCACAACTGTCAGGAACCCTGCTAGGGGTGGAGCTGCGGCATTAAACTCTAGAGCCAACTTTTTTTTTTTCTCTGCATCTGTGCGAGTGCATAGCAGATATGTGTCCGCTATGTTTTTCTTTGTTTATTTTATTCTTTTGATTGATAATAATAGTTGGATATGGAATCAGTATGGATCATATGACATATCTGTTGTTTTTTACTGTTTATAAACTTATAAAGGCTATCCATATGTGATGCCGATGGCACAGCGATCATGATTTTTAGGTTATATTTTTCTCTCTTTTTATAGATTGCACTGGTTTTTCACTCAAACAGCAATTATCGGCTGTTTCAATCTAGTTTTGTTTTTTTTTTTTTGTTTTTTTTCCAATCTAGTTTTAGATGGCACAGCGCTGGGTCTTTGTGTTTGAGTGTGAGGGCAGTCGGTTTGCAGTACTCCCTTCTTCAGTGGTTTGTGTAGGACAGCTTTGCGAGGAAATGGGCTTTCTTTTTTCTTTTTCTTTATTTTAAAGAAAAGTGCGATGGCCTTGAGATGTCATCTTTGAGCTGACCAGCCCTAGGTTAGGTAAAGTCAGAGTCATTCTCACTCATCAGATTCCAAATCATTCCATTGAATTCGAACTCAGGTCCGCATTTCAACAGTTCGTAGGTGTACCAACGGAGCTACCTTCTTCGCCCGAATACAACGTACGGAATTATAGCTGTATGTATTTGGGGTATCGTTTAGTCTAAATACAGTTGGTAGGAAGCGGTTCTTAGCAGCAAATGGGCAGGGAACAATGTTGAGGGGGAAGAGGCGGCAGTCTTTTTCAGCAATTTTGCTTAAACGCATGCATGTGTAAACCTCCTCCTCCTCCTCCTCCTCCTCCTCCTCTTTTTCACTGTTCTCCATCCCCATCCCCTCCTCCTCTTCGTCTTCCTTATTGTTCTGTCTCCTTTCTTGCATTTTCTTGTCTCCTTTCTTGCATTTTGTCCAGTGCGAATTGTTGGGCGGGTGATTTCAGATCGTCGGTGTGGCGAACGTGAGAGTGCGATGCTGACCGACCTATTGCGGCAGTTGACGTCAGACAGCAGATCCCAATCCTGGTTGTTGGTATCCCAATCCTGGTTGTTGGTCGGATGTGACGTTGTGCATGCATGGGTTTGACAAATGAACAAAAGGGAACCATTTTGAACAGCGGAGATGCATGAAATAACAGGGACGTCATCAAAATCAGACGATGCTTTCGGGACTGTCGCATGTCCCGTGGGAGCACGTGCAGTGTTGACGGTACTTTTTCGAATTTTAATTTTTTAGTTTGCATTGTCGATCATCAAACACAGGGCGAGGAGCGCAGCAAGACAGGCTGGACACTCAGAAGAAGCAACTAACCACCTTGATCGGATTGTTGGACTGGAGCCAGCTTTTTTAGATCTTTTTTCTCGTCCTCGATTTTTGATGAATTTGGGCTGTGCGGATTGACAATTTGCGTTTCCGAAAACAAGTCTTAAACTCAGAGAAGCAGGACAGCAATTAAGGAGAAGGGGGGGGGGGGGGGAATGAAAATGGCGGTGGCATTTAGGGCTCCTTCATGGTCACATTATAGAATTGTTCAGGGGTCATCCCAGCTACAGGCAATACGCAGCCGAGCTGCAGATGTGTCGGGCTTATGTCGGGCATGCGCCTTGTTGCTGGCTGGAAAATGCAACGAGGGACGCGGTTGTGAGGACATGTACAGGGTCTTTCCGTCACCCTGTCGTAAGATAACCACTGGCAACGGCTCAGTACCGGGTCAAAGGGCGTGCAGACAAGGAGAGAGAATGCCTACGTTGGATTCGCGATCCAGCTGGATTGATGTTTGCGACCGTGCCTGGTACAGGTCCGCCAGAGTTCAATTCCGCGATCTGCAGCATTTCCAGTGGTGGTTACCGCGTAGCAGTCAGTCTATCCTTGGCACCGAGCCTTGCCCTTGGCCATCCAGTGCAGAAATAACAGCTGGAGGAGGAGGAGGAGGAGGAGCAGGAGGAAAGAGACGAGGGGGATCACACAAACTCTGCCAAATAGTCAGGTTCCCGGCTATGGATGCGGCAGTCAGGGGTGTACTCCAGGACCAGCTGTGCAGCAGGAGTGTCCTCTTTGAAAGGGGAGAGAAGAAGATGATTAGGGTAACGGTCCTCACCGCGAGGGTGGCGATGGATGGCTCAGCCATCGGGGAATGGCCCCGAGCGTTCCATTCAATTCCTTCATGTAGGGGCGAGGGGGGTTATCGAGGATGGCGCAGGGTTTTGAAGGGCGTCCTTGCAAGCAGGGAATCGTCTGTTGTGACTGCCAGATCTTTGCGTGTAGAAGCGGAGGGAGGTGGCCAGTCGATGGCTGTTCCTCCTCAACAAGATGGAAGGCATGGGGAAAAGGAGGCTACTGAGTCAGGCGCTGAAGCAAAGCGCAGGGGCTCCAGGGCAAGGGCCCCCTTAAGTCTTGAGCTGACAATGGAGCAAGCTGCCAAGGAAGCCTTGGATGAGCATGCTATTTTGAAAGGCAAAAAAAGGCTGGGCAAAAGGAGAGAGAAAATGCTGGCACGAAGGGAGGAGATGATGCAAAAGGCTAGGGAAACTGATCTCCTTGCAGAATCGGACGGGGTTCTTGGGTTGGAGAACCCTTTCTCCCTTTCCTTAGCGAGGCCTTTCTCAACCTCGGCGATTAGCCAACAGCAATCAAGATCATCGTTATCAAGAGTTGATGGCAAGAACGGCAGCGGTGGCAGCAGTGCGCTTCTAGAACAACCCGAGCCGGTGCCGCGTCATCTTCCGATAATGGTGAAGAAGCCAATTATGCCGAGCCGATGGGACAGTCCAGGAGGGTGCGTGATTCTTATGGACAAACCAAAGGACTGGACTTCCTTTGCCGTTTGCGCAAGGGTTCGGAGCCTTGTGAAAGTGAAGAAGGTTGGCCATGCAGGAACACTTGATCCCATGGCAACTGGCTTGCTGATTTTGTGTGTCGGCAAGGCGACCAAACTCGTGGACAATTATCAGGCATTGCAAAAGACCTATACTGGCACAATAAGGCTGGGAGAAGCGACGTCGTCGTATGACGCAGAGACGGATGTCGTCCAACAACTGCCATGGGAGCATATATCTGATGAGGACATTCAGGATGCGGCGAAAAACTTCATCGGGAACATCATGCAAGTTCCGCCAATTTTTTCTGCGATTAAAGTGAAAGGCGAGCGGCTCTACGAGAAAGGAAGGCGTGGAGAGACCATAGATATACCCCCTCGGCCATTGGTAGTCTACGATTTCCAGCTCAAGAGAAGTAAGTCTAACAGGCAGCATATCGACTTCAAGGTCGAGTGTTCCAAAGGGACATATGTGCGATCTTTGGCAAATGATCTGGGGCGGGCTCTGGGAAGCTGTGGGCATCTTGTTGCACTTCGACGGGAGAAAATCGGCGACTTTTCCGTCAGATCGGCCTGGACAGTCGATGAATTCACCGATATGCAGAAGCAAAACTTGAACTAGGGTAGTGTACTAGCACGACATGGAAGTTTTGGTTCTGCAATTCACTCTCAACAAGTTGGCAGTAGCCTTTGACAGTGAGCTATTATTGTAAAGTCGTGAGCACGAGTTAAGTTGGAGGGACGAAGTGCTGTTTCCTTTGGCGGCTTTTCACAGAATGGAATGTTGCCCTCACCCAAATGCATCAAATTTGATTTTCCTTTTTCTTCCAGAGAAAAAAAACTTCAGAAAACCCTACTCAAATCCAACCATGGCAGCGATCCGGATCTCCAGACAGGTATCCTGACCATCTGGAGTCTGGTGTCTGGCCCACCTATCTGGATCCCGGTCTGGACTGGAGACCCTGTGGCCAACAGCCAAATTTATTTTGCGTGGCTCAGGGCGTTTCGTCACGCCCCGGGCGCCAACAAAAAATTGCCTTTATTGTTTTCAGGCCCTGCCTAGCATCCGGCAGGACTGGAGTTTCTCTTTTCTGTTCTTGTGAAGGCGGCCCGCTGGAGTGCAAGCAGGCTTCAACTTCGAAGGCCTCATTGTACGTTCGGCCGCCCCTCCCAACTTCGAGTTTCTCTCAAGCCTGCTTGCACTGCTGCCATCGCCTGTGACGGGGGAGCAAGAAGTGGGTCAACGAGGAGGCCACAGCAGGCGAGGAGCACACGCACAGCACACACAGCAAGGGTAGCGCGAGGAGCCCAGCGAGGAGCAGCGTCAAGCAGGTCAGTCTCTCTGTCTCTGTCTCTGTCTCTCTCTCTCTCTCTCTCTCTCTCTCTCTCTCTCTCTCTCTCTCTCTCTCTCCCCCCCCAAAGACAAGCCCATTCTGGTTTCACCCATCAATGCCTCCTCTTCCACCGGTCCTCATCGTCTTGATCCTCCCTCTCCCCCCGTCCTCTTTGTCTTCCTACTACTACTTGTCAACTTCACTTCCCCTCCCTCCCTGCCTACATGCGCTGCATAGTGCTCTTTTCCCACCCTTTTTGGTTTTTTGTCGGTGGTGTTTCAAATCTTTCCCATGAACTTCCTCCTCCTCCCCCTCCTCCTCCTCCTCCTCCTCCTCCGCATGGTCCTCGTTATCGACTTGGTTTACCTCCCCCCCCAACTTCTTTTGGATTTTTCCCATCATGTTCCTCCTCCTCCTCCTCCTCCTCCTCCTCATCATCATCATCATCATCATCATTATCATCATCATCATCATCATCATCATCATCGTCGTCTCATTCCTCCTCCACGTATTCCTCCTCTTCCTGCTTCCCTTTGTCGCCCTCCACGTCTTCTTCCTCCTCCCCTTGTCCTCCTTGCTTCTCAGTGTCTTGTTTCTGCTCCTCGTCTTACTCTTCCCATATGTCATCGACTTCCTCCTTTCGCCCCCTCCCCCCACATGGCGAACTTTCCCACCTTTGTTTTTTCTCCCCTCCGTCTCTCTCCCTTGCCGTCGTCATGCTCCACCTCTTTTCCTCCTTTTCCTCGTCATTCTCCCGCTTGTTCGTCATCTTTCTCGTGGTCTCCTTCCTCCTCCTCCTCCTCCTCCTCCTCCTGGTCTTACTACCACTACTCGTACTCTTTCTCCTCCTTCTCCACCTTCCCTCTCTCTCCTTTCTCGCCCCTCTCACTCATTTACCTTCTGGGGTTACCAGTTATGATTGGTTCTTAAATTTTTGAACGCACTTCATAGTTCTTGGGCTTGCGCTGTTCTTGGGCTTGCAGTGTTTTTTTTTTTTTTTTTTTAGGGGCCATGCTAATCTTCTCTGTATCGTTCCAATTTTAATGGATGTCCCAAAGGACATGGGCTTGCAATGTTGATCAAAGTTTTCGTTGAATAACTTAGAATAAGTTCACATCGTTTTTCAAAATTTCAATGCTTTTCTTTTTTTTTTGTTTGTCAAAGTTGAGTTTCCAGTTCCCTCATGGACGTTTTCGACGTCTCAACCCCATTGGGGGTGGGGGAGCGCTGCGAATTCCGGCTACGGTTCAATTCTCTCGACCCCATCGGGGGGGGGGGGGGGGGGGGGGGGGGTTCAAAACTTTGCGACGTCCTGTTATGATTCATTTTGACACCATGGGGGGTCGAGAAATACTGTCAGATTTTTGATTGATTGATTGATTGAGAGAGAGAGAGAGAGAGAGAGAGAGAGAGAGAGAGAGAGAGAGAGAGAGAGAGAGAGAGAGAGAGCAGACACACAGACTCAGATGTCGTTGGATCTGATATCCCATCGCCCTCGTTGTTCGGCCTGGTGGTCCTCCTTGTCTGCAGGATGCCGAAAGGGGGTGCAGATTCCATGCCACCAAGGGACACTTTGAGCAGCTTGGCGTAGTTGGGATGCGAAGAAGGGCGACTGCAGATGCCGTTGTGTTTTTTTTTTTTTTTTTTTTTAATACATCCAGAGTCCAGACATATATGGCCATCGGGATATGGTTCCGGACAGGTACATCCGGAGATGACCAGAAACCGGTCCACCCGATCAAGCCATGAAATCCGGTGTCTTGTGCCCAGTGTCTGGTTTTGTCCGCGTTACTTGTCCGCCGCTGCCATGAATGCAACCGACCGCCAAGAAAGGAAATGTTGAGGAATCACTTTTAATCAGAGCCTAAAAGAAGGGTGCGTGGGGGGGGTAGCGGAGGGGCTGGGGGGGGACATAAGATTCCTATTAATTAAACTTAGTAAAGTTAGTTTCCTACTTTTTGACAGTTTGTGCTATGCTATTCTCGATACGAGACCATGGGATTCCTATTGACAGTTTTCGCTATGCTATTCTCGATACGAGACCGATGAATCATTGTTATTCTACTTGCTGATTACTAATTAGTACTGATCAGTGATTACTAATTAGCAATTGCACCCAAGAGTAATAGTCATGAGAAGAGCAGGGAATCTTGTGGGTATATGCTATAGAAGAGGCCTGTGTGTTTGAAAATAATAATAATAATAACTTATTAATAAGTATTAATAACCGGACTGCTGGCCCCCAGAATAGAAGGGTCCTGTGTGTGTTTAAAAAGAAGAAGAAGAAGAAGAATTAAAAAAAAAAAAAAAAAAAAAAAAACTTAAAAACTAGGCTACCAGAGTGGCCCGGGGTCKYTT